ATAATTGGTTAGGGTTGGCCCTGTGATAGAGCTCTGGATTTCGGAACTGGCGAGTTGGCTTCGAATCCGCGCGATACCACAAAATAAGTTCGAGAACATACTGCTTACTCACCGAAGGACTTGCTAATATGATACATAATGTTGGAAGTAAACTCCTTCCAACTTTATTTTCATACATTAAATAAATGACGATCCAGCGTTAAAATGACGGTATTGTAACCTTCCTTATCGTGTTTTGTTAATTAATAAATGAGTTAACAACAAGATGCTCCCCTATGACTAAGCGGTAAGTCTGAGGCTTTATAATGTTAAACATTGGGTACAAATATCCTATTGTGTAGCATTGCGCTTAACAACAAAGTCTTAGCGTGAATGATGGGTGGTTAGGTGCTACTGACTGTATGCCTCCCCCTCTGGTCAGTATATACAGTACTACAGTATATCGTCATTTGTTAACATAGTGACGTAGAAGCAAAATAATTTATAATTTTTTCATTTAATTTTATTACAAACATAAAAGAGTGTATTTTTGATTTTACACATTTATTTACTAATAATCTCATTAATCGTCTTCTGGATTTCCTAAATTATTTCATATTTTTTAACCTAAAATGGCTCTACAGTTAAACTTCAGCCTGACCGTGTTTTTATTTTTTTTCTAGGTATATATTTCCCGATATTTCAGTATTTAGGTTAATCAAGTTTCCTCTTTCGTACAATATAAATTGTTATAAAGATATTGTTTGAGTGAATGATATACAAGTGTAAACTGTGTATATGACCAACAAGAGAATCTTATTATTGTTTGTTTGTTGTTAAGCACAAAACTGCACAATAAGTTATCTGTACTGTCTCTAATTATTAGCATTATGAGCATTTAGTTTATCGCTGTACCACAGTGGCACATCGGTATGTCTGCGGACTTACAACGCTAGAATCCTGGTTTCGATACCCGTGGTGGGCAGAGCACAGATAGCCCCTTGTGTAGCTTTGTGCTTAGGTACAAAACAAACAAACAAACCACTGGGAGGGAGGAACCTTGTGAAGAAATTGTTTCTATAATAGCAGGACCTCATCGTGAACAATGTAGACATTGAGTGAGAATGGGATCTTAACATGAAAAAGCAGACACTGTTTGAGTAAGAGAGATTGATACATTACCATAAGCACACTGATATTTTTATTCAAGAATGAAACTTATCACGATAGGTAGATATTGTTTATGTGAATAAAAACGAGGCATTATCACAAACAAGCTGATATTGTTTGTGCAAGTGTAAGTGAGCTCTTATTATGAACAAGGTGATATTCTATCTGTATAGGTAACAATGAAAGTTCACCATGTACAAGCAGCAACCGTTTACAGAGTACTTGTCCGTCTGAACAAATAGATATTTACTGTATACGCACGAGAATAGAATCACAGTAGGTACTGTACAGTAAAAAGGTGTATTAAATATACTTCTGAATTACTTTTTTTTTAATAGAAGGTTGTAGCCAGCCATTTAAATTTACCAAGGCACTTGCCCCCCCCCCCAAAAAAAACTAAATACATTATAAGATAAAATATATTAGAATACTACCAGTATATTTAACAGGTTTCTTCTGTTATAGAATTTTGTAACTTGATCGGTGTGTTGTGACGCAACTATATACAGAAATTTAATCATTGCTTGTTGTTAGAATTATCTGTATTTTTGTCACTGCTTTGTCTCACCTTGTAAAAAGGTCACTAATAAGTCTGGATTGTTTTGAAGACATCTGCCCTTACACAATACGTCATCATCTGTTACTATTCTCATATACACTGAGCTGCAAAGTGTTGCTGTAGTCCGTAATGACGACAGAAATGTATTTTTGTTTTAGAGCAGTGCCACATTGGGCTGTCTGCTGTCTCCACCGCAGAAAATCGAACCCCGGATTTTTACGTTGTAAGTCCGTAAACTTACTGTTGTCTCGTCGGGGGACTGTTATAAGCCCTGTGGACATAACAGATAGCCCACCGTGGCTTTGCTCTAAACCAAACTTTTTCGGACTGGTATTAAACAAAGAAATATGAACTATACTTGTCAAAGCAAAATGATATTAATATCATTTTAACAAATAATCTGATGACCGCAAAACACGTTTTCTTTTTCCTTATGAATGTTGAAATTACATTCTTATTCACTTCGTTGTTTCCTTATTCATTTTATTTTCATAAACAGATATTAATTATATGCATACATCTGTGACGCAAAATATTAAATATATGACTTTATTATTACACATAGGACAAAATTGTCTCTAGTACTATACAGTTTATAATGTGTTACCGTTTATAACGTGTAAGTATGCATGTTAACTTACATTATCAATGAATATGTTAGACTCAGGTTGACCTTGAAATATGGACCTGGGCCTATGCGATTTACGTCTATACACATGAGGTCACGTAGAACCTCAGACAAAGGTGTTTATCATCTTGAGCTTATATAGCTGAGTGTTCAGTGTAAATTAGAATGGATAAAATATTGACCTTTAAATTTTCAGAGGAAAATATGCTAAAAACTTGTACACACTACATTTCAATTACTAATTTACTTAAATATCTAAAATGTTGAATTGTTTCCTATAGACTTCTCTAGCCTTCTATATATGTTTTGGAGGCGACGTTTCGAGTTTTGTTCATCAGCACAGGGTCCAAAAACGTCCTTTCCACAACTATACAGAGGCAAGAAAAGGTCAGAGAAAATCATCCAACATGTCACCATATTGCCTAAAACGTTTTTTAAAATAACACAACTGAGAATATGAAAAATATGTGTAATGAACAGACGGAAGTGGTCATCATAGTTCCATACAAAAATAGCAGCTTGAAGCTTTATATACTGCATATAAATATCATTACAAACACATAAAAGAAACGTCGAAGTTAAATCTATATCACTTCCAATTTACAATAATTCAAGTAAACCATAATATCCAATAATTTTCTGTCACAATAAATTGTTTTCTTGGCTGTAGAAGCAAAATTATACATGCTCTTTACTCGCAAAATCAAATGAGAGTGAATTATACTTATATTACAGTCATCGAGACCATTCTTTAAAAACTTCGGCTTCTTTTTCCTCCACTTCATCCACGCCTTCTGTGGTTATCACTGTCCCATCATTCTTCACAATGATTAAGGCTGGTGTAGACTTTACATCATACAATTTTGCCAATTTCTGCCGGACGTCTGAGCCGAATGGGACCGCTGGCCACTCGATCTCCATTTGATCCATATAACCGAACATTCCTTCCTCTCTATCGTCACTAGATACGAGAATAACTTCAAAAGATGCTCCCTGCTTCTGTAGCTTCACGTAGATATCATCAAGATACGACGTAAATCCTAAACACCAAGGACACAACCTGTTTCCAAAGAAAAAGCCTATAATTTCTTTTTCTCGTAAGAAATCTTCGGCCTCGATTTCACTTTTATCTCTTCTGACCAATCTTAGTCCTTTGATATGCTCCATGTATAGCGGCTGGTATAACTCTATACAAACTTCTTTGATGCTTGGTATTGTAAAATTTGATGATTAATGGATTACTATGTCATCCATCCACTACCAACTTCACAAAAAATTTAGAATGGTACACCTACAGTGTTTGGCAAGTGGAGTGTGCAAAACAGCAATTGGTTACCATGGTAAACTCGAACATGTTGGTTTTATTGATTATAAACCGTTAGAACGTTACATAGCTTTAGGAAGTACTAACTTAACCCTCTGGAAGTCTAATAGATAATTGTAATAATTTAAAAAAATATTTTTCTTTAAATATATATATATTTAATGAAGTAGAAACGCTGTATAATAATCTCGAATCAGTCTTAAAGAATTATTACGTAATCTACAGAATGAACCCGTATTTTTGTAGTCTATATTTCTAGCTAAAGGTTTTATGATATTCTAGTTTTACAAAGAAGTACTTGCAATGTTTTAAGAGTCATTTAATAGTTACTTAACACTAATATTTTAAGAATGTGTACAAAATTGCGTGAAAATGTTGAAGGATTGTATATTGACATTTGAAAAATAAATATAATAGAACATTACAATGATACTTTTTTAAATCAGTAAATAAATAAATAACGAGGTCTAAAGGTATTAATTTAACTATTATTTATATGAAAAATACTGGACCTACTGATAATGCTCGTAAGTAATAAAACCACCAAAGCATTTAGCAGAACCCAATATACAATTTTGGTTCAGCATTTCATAAATATGAATAATAAAAGATGAAGCATAGAATGGCTCTTTGGCGAATCGCAAAGACAAATTAATAAGATATTTCTCTGTTTCTTTTACTTTATATTCTTCTTTCAATGACTTTGTTAGGTCTGTGATATTCGGCAAGAAAGTCATAATTTCCTGCAAAACTCAGGTGTAGGATTATTAAGCGATGGATAAATTGGTCCGGAATAGTACAGGAAAACAATGTACTTTTAAATACAAAATTATCTATCAACAAAAACAGTACTCTGTGACCAAAACTGGCTGGGTTTTTTATTCCGTGCCGTCGGGCTGCTGGGGGTCAAATAAACCAAGAAAGCTTAAGAGATGGATCTACGTAAATATACAACCTGAATACTTTGGCAAGGTATTCCACAAGTACACAGGTTACATACTTCAACCAGTGTTGCACACGCAATCTTAAGCCAGATGTATAGGTTTCTGAACTGGCTGTTTGAATAGGCTGACAAACATCTTCATGGTTTTGCACAAGTACAGATGATGTACTAATAATAACTTTATACCAGCGGTAAGTCAATAAACTATATTCTACTGTTTGCAGCATTAACTCATGCAAGCTTCTCTAAAATATCAGTAAAAAAATAGTTATGATCTTCAGCATAAAATCAGCACATTTGTACTTTCATTTTTTGCTGTTTACAGAGGCAGAACATCTTAATTTCATGCCAATGTGTAGAAATGTATGTATATATATATCACTTAACCCCAAAATATAACTGTAAAATGAACAAAACAGTTAAGGATATGAATCTAGGAGGAGAAACACTCCTCAAAGATGATACATGGTGAAAGTCTGTTAAAAGACAGCTGTGACATCTTATTAGAAAGTAAACGTGGTCTAATATATATATTTGATAGCAATGAGGTTTAAAGTAAAAATAATTAGGAGAACTGAAAAAAAAATAAACTTTTAACAATGATAAATATGCTTGTTTTTTGGTCCATTACTGGGAATCGACCTCTGGATTTTTAGCATTGCAAGTCGATAAACTTACAACTAACCCATGAGGGTACCTATATGTAAATTAACCAAAATTGTGCCGTTCAAAGATACACACACATATATACATGTATATACTTGAGAGAACTGATACTGAGAAAGTAAGGATGACGATTTCCAAAGAACTGCCACCTGTCTGTCTGCTTTTCATCTATTCAATTTTAAAGTGACCTCAACTAAACTTAAAATGTACTCTTAGAGCTTCCCAGGGAATGATGTACAGGATTTAGCAATTGAATCTGATCCATATGTCACTCCTGTATGTTCCCCTTTATCAGAACAGGGAGTTAAGGTGACTTTAATCTTTTTATGAGGATTGAATTGTCTGAAAAGACTGATTTTATTAAGGTATAAAACATGATGTTTGCATTTAACAGTAGAGCTTTATGATGTCTTACCCAATATCTTCATTCAGCATTTTGTTTTATTATGCTTAAAGTTATTCTAGGGAATTTGGTGGTATGTAGAAATATACATTTCCAAATTATATGATTTACGGGAAGCACAACATTGGCATCTGCCAATTTGGACATCAAACATTCCAAAGTTGTGCAGCTATAGTAGCGATAAATCTGAGTGAATGTGCTCTGATCTTGAAAAATATCCAAAACAAATTATGAAAATAAGATGGGATAACATTTTATAAACTATTCTGTTGTTTTCTATCCATATATAATAAAACAGGTGACCTGGATGACTGTCCATGCCAGTGACTTGCTGATCATCAAGTCCAAACATGATCAGCTATCAGATACTGTGGTATTCATGTATATCTTACTTATTCCACCATTTGCTTAACCTATGAAATTATGAAATGCTATAAAAAATTAGATGGTTATAAATTATCTTAGCAGGATAGGTGTTAGACAAGAAAATAAACATAATTTGGGTGGTGTCTTTGTAACTATTAGGGTGAGCTTTTTTTTCGTAGCTTTGCTTTTTCTGTTTACCTCTTATAGTCTACAATGAACTTAAAACCTGTCATCACCAGTATCAAGTATCAGTAATATTTATTCTGTGATGTTACTTGTATGCTTCTCAGTCTCTGGCATAGTGTTGCCTGATCCTGTACTAAAATTAGCATCAATATAATTGTAATTGCAAGCATTACTTGTTAGTGCCCAGAGAAATGATATGAGGCCCTTGTCAAATATCAATAGTTTCAATAATTAGTAAGTACTATGACAATATTTAGTCACAATGTTTAAATTTTTACAACTATTACTTCAAAGATTTAATTTGATAACTTTTACAAAATATCTATTAAAGATATAGGAATAATGTAAAAGTTTGTCTCCTAGCAACCCATATTGATTTTCTTTTTGGGTCAGTTAGGAATCTTAAAAAAATACATCCAGTTCTGAACCCTACCCATTGGTGCAGCCAAAAGCACAACTGTGGAAAGGCATTTCAGTTTTTTCATTGCCTTGAGTACATGCGAGCTGCCATCCCATATGGCAGTCACTAGGAGAAGACAAGATCATGTGATGTGATGACATCATTCTGGAAAGGTCTATAGCACATTATGGCACATGATGTTGTCTTCATCAGTTGAACAGTTACTGTCCTTGGTGTTGATTGGGCAAACAATCTAGACATAATGCAGCAAAATCAACTCAGTGACTTGTTGGTTGAATATGATAATGTATTTGAGGGACAAGATAGATAAACTTGATGCTCAGCTTTCAGCATTGGAATATCCTCATATCATCTTTGTGCTCTTGTTTTGTTCTTTACTTTGGTGGTGTTTTCCATCAAAGGTAGTGTATGCCCTCAAGACAGACTTTAAAAATGGATGACCATGCAAAAGGAACCTACATTGACCTGAGAGTATAGCTTACTGCTGACCAAAGACTTGACAATCTAGTGTAACCAATTCGGTTTCAGGTTTTTGTTTGCTAAGGTCTCTAATGCTTCATCAGTCATTTGAAATACAAACCTTGAAAAGTTTTTCAACAAAGTCACCAGTAGGAATTATACAGTGATGCCATATTTTTTTGCTTGCATCTGGTGACTTAATAGCATGTATTTGTACACAATGGCATGAATTCCTCTTTCATTCCCCAGCTGCTAGTTATATGATGATTCAATAAATATGTCCCAGAAGCAATTTGAGAACATTACTTTTGTTGTTTTTCCAGATGGAGATCCTTCTTGATTATGTTTTGTTCTGTTACCTGGGATACATGGCCAGATTTTGTCACTGACCTGTGAGTATTTAAATTCTCACATGTTACCAGATGCCATACTTTTTACTCACCATAACTGGTGTACAATTTCTTTTAGGTATCTTTCTGGATAGTCCTGGTGCCCCAAGTTGATCCACACTCCCTTGTTTTCCAATAATATTAAATTCAAGGGATATTCCCATCTTGGAAATTCTAAAGCCCCAATCTTTATGATGTGAGAAAGGTTTGTTTCATACCTTTTCCAAAAGCAATGAATTTTTGGTAGCATTGCTCTACCTATGCCACTAACTTGTGTTCATGAATTATCATCTGTTACTAGATGTCATACTCTGTTTACCATGGCTGGAATATGACTTGTTGCAAGTCCTTTATAGATGGTCCTGGTAAACCAAAATAATCCACATTCCTTTGTTTTCTAATACCATTAAGTACAAGGGATATCCCCATCTTAGAATCTCCAATCTGAACACATCTTTATAAACTGATTTTCCTCAAGTTAGCAGAACTATAAGCTATGTCATTAATGTTAACTTGTAATGTAGTTCCAATTTTTGTATCCAACAAAAGTATTCCAAGTTGTTGTTCCTGGCTCATAAAAAGGCAAGAAAAGTTTTTATTATTTGTTTGTTTGTCGATTTTTTCACAAAGCTACAACAGCAATTCCTAATTTTGAAGTGGCAGAACAGAAAGAAGGCAACTAGTCAACACCACCCACTGTAAACTCATGGGCTACTCTTTTTAAGACCAAATAGTAGGATTTGATGGCCACTCTTATAATGAACTCACAGCTTCAAAATGTGGGGCATAAATATTTTTGTAGTAACAAGTCTTTAAATCATACATACTAGTGGTTCACAACGGATTTGGCCTGAAGCTTTCTTCAAGCATACTTTATACAATAAGTGGTTCCCCTGCATTATATATATAAATAACTAAAATTCAATGTTTCTCTTCATATATCTATATACATACTCATGTACAGTATAAAAATCAGAAACCATTTAGCCCTTAAGTGAGCTCCTTAAGTTGGAAACCACTGGTATATAGTACAGTCAGATATTTTTTAGCCCTAGTTTCAAGCATAATCATATACAACCTATTACAAAAAAACAGTTTTACTTTGCATTAAAAGAAAAAGTTTCAATGTTTCATGTTTAGTTTGTTGGATTTCAAGCAAAGCTACACAAATGTTACTACCTGTTCTAGCCATCCCTAATTTTGAACTGATAAACTGTTTATCTGTTAAGCACAAAGATACACAATGAGTTATCTCTGCTATGCCCACCATTTTACCATTATAAGCCTTCAGAATTACTGCTTAGCCACTGGGGGCAACTGATAAAGAGGGAAGGCAGCTAGTCAACGCTGCCAAATCTTGTCCGAACTGAATAGTAGGAATTTACCATCATTCTTATAATGTACCCATGGCCTCAAAGTGCAGAGTGCAATATTTTTTGGTTGTAATGAGACAAAAAAACAACAGAGCCTTAGTTCCACAGCCAACATGCTAACTATTGCTCTTTGCTTGCCCAAAAAATGTTTCTTGTCAACATCAATTTTAAAAAGCAACTTCTGACTGATACAGTGATTATTTCTAGAATGCTTGGGAGTAAGGTATCATGTTATAGAAAAATTGTAGAGTTTATGCAGGAGTATGTTATGGCTTTAAATTATCTTGCATGCATATCTTATAGTCCAGTAGCTGTGGTGGAAAATCCTCAGAAAGTTTAGTCAGATACTGCACACAGAGATAAAAAGCACAATTTGTAAGCTTTTTGCCACTCAGGATTGTTAAAACACTAAAAAAAAATACAAATTTTCATATGTCATTGTTTATAGCCTCTTTCCCCCCTTTTATTTATTAACTTAGTTGTAAAAATACTAGTAATATTATTTAGAAACAATTAAGAGAGACATGGATTACAAATAAGAAATAATGTTATTATTTCTCAATATGCAAATGATACAATATGAATAGTTATTTTCATAGAACAGAAAAGCCATTTTTGTTCTCAGGATAAACCATCTGAGCTTGTGATGTTATAATATTCTTATGAAAATCTTCTACTGTACTCATTATCTAAAAAGTTAGCAACTGTTGGTCAGCAGGGTCCATGCTATAAAATGAGGTTTTTGAAATCATTACTAATTCACTGTAAAAAATCAAAGCTGGTTTTATCTCTAGGATGATCACAAGGAGGATTATTTAATCCTCAAAGAGTATCAGATTCTTTTTAGCTATTGATGATAACATATGCTGAGCTGCTAGAACAAAGTGAACTAGTAACTGCTAGTACTTGTAATGAATGATGTTAGATATCTTCATTTAGATCACTTATCCTAAGACCTTCAATTGATGTTTTGGAATGTTCAACATTACCAACTGCTGATATTTGTAATAATTGCTGTTTGATATATCTTTTATTTTTTCTACTATTATTGGATCAGCATCAGCAGTTCTGGTACTTGCATCTAGTGTCGAAGCTCTCACCTTCAGCTGCTCAGCATCCTGGCTTTTTTTCAGGTTCTGTGAGTAACACAACACTAGTATATCAATGTTTTTGATGCTTCTAACTTTTCAGATTTTTCTTCTTCTCACACCCAGATTTATAAACACGATTTAGCAACATTTTTAAAAGTAACAATAATATACAGGTAATTTAAGTACATAGCGTGGTCACAAGTAAATAGACACCACCTTTTCAGAAAAAATTAAAATTTTCAGGCATATTCACATGAATTGATATATTTATAATTTAATTAATATCTAGTAGATCTTCCTTTAACTTTTTGGAGTTCGTTGATCCTTTGGGGCATCGCGAGAATCATCTTGTCAATTTTAGATTGTGGGATTTTCGCCCACTTTTGCTTCAAAACTTGGAGTAGATTGCTCTTTGAAGTTGGTTTTTTTGGTTGTTTCTTGACTTGCCAGTCGAGTACGACCCAGAGGTTTTCGATGGGGTTCATGTCAGAAGATTGGCTCGGCCAGGGCAACTTCTGGATACCATTTTCTTCCTG